GGATAAGTCAGATATCTCGGATATATGTTATTTGGCATGGCTGGAATTAAGAAATTAAGATAATTCTAGCCGTAACAGCGTTATAAAGTTAAGAAGACATAAAAGATCTGCATCTGAAAAATCATCTTTTTTCGGTGGGTTGCATTTTGATACAAAGTTTCTCACAGTTTCATGGGGAATATATTTTTCTTGTTTAATAATAAATCGAAAAAGTGACAACTCCACGTGTTCAAGAATCGGTTCAACATACGCGCCCTGCTCTAAAGGTGAAAATGAGAACCGCTGTGAGAACAATACTATATCTTCTTGACCTTTCGTTTCGTTTCTTTGATCCCTTTGATCACCCTTTTCTTCATCATCGTCACCTTCCTTTTCATCAACATCATCACCTTTCTTTTTATTTTCTTGGTCTTCTTTCGTATCTTCCTGGTCTTCCATATTTTGATCTTGATCTTGTAACTCTTTCTTGAGTCTGTGGTCTGTTAGGCTTCCTATTGCATGTTGCATTACACTGGAGAAAAATCGTGCTCTCTGGAAAACTGCGCGATACTTCTTATCTATAATTTTAAGTTTCTTCTTGTTCGAGGTGGCTTTTTCAACGTTACTAACCCACGTGTATAAGGACCCATATTTTGTCACATTTTCTTCACTATTGAAGAAAGCGTGAATAGACGATTTTAGCGCTTCTTTCTGTTCAATCATGCTGGTATTTTTCCTGAAAGGGGGGCTTAATTTCAATAAGGCATCAAGCGTCGAATCGAGGTCATTCTTAATATTATTGTGAAGATGATTCTTCAGCCAAATCGAAAGTTTGATCATTATCTTCTACGCGTAGGACCGATTGTTATCCGAAGCGAAGCGGAGGATGTATGTTTTTACGCGACGTGATTTCTACCCGTCCATCACGTGATATCACATGCACAAACATCATGTGACATAACATATGTATAATAATTATTTTTAACTTTTATTGATTAGCCACATGATATTTCACTACGTCATTTGTATCTTCCAATGAAAATAAATAAGTTGACAACTAACATGTCTTTTAAGCCTTGGGATAGACAAGTTCTACCGAAAAGCCGAGAAACACCTCGTGTGTTTGTTAGGTGGACGGTTACCAAGAAGCCGAGAAACACCTCGTGTGTTTGGTAGGTGGATGGTTACCAAGAAGCTGAAAAAATATGCCTTGTGTATGTTTCGGAAGTGGACGGTACCGGACATTCAGAAGAAACACGCCTCGTGTGTGTCTCTAGGAGTACGGTCAATACGGGCTCCCTTACTCAGGATTAACTTGGTTCATCTTCGAGTAAGGCTGAGTCTGGACTCGTTGGCTCAGAGTTATAAATGTAGCTACTTGTGTTACCGAAGTAAATCCCATGGCGTTAGTAATATTTTCTCGCAAAAAGAAGTAGACAAAGATATCTCGCAAACCGGAAGATAACGTACCACCTGTCGTCACTCTCCTACCTCACTTGATATAATTTTTTATCCGTCGAAAGTATGTTTATTATCAATATCAGCCGTGCCATCATATATTTTTCGTTGTATTGCTTTTATGTGGCACATTAGTGATAGGGGAGTTATCCGAGTTACTTGACATGAGTTTGCTTCGGCAAGTTTTGGGGTGAAACAAACGCATAATCACCATTTGGTGGCTCGACTCGATAATCTATTCGTTTCGCAATACCTACCCTTCATTGTAAAACATGTCATTTTATATAAGTTGAGAAAAAAAATACGAAGATATTGGGATCAAAGAATGGGGACAGTTATTGTCTTTCGATACAGTGCTCTGGGTCTGACTCTTAGCGTTCTGAAAAATCGGGACACATCCTCCCATGCAATCCCATGATAAGTGTATTTTTAAGTTATCTTAGTGGATGTTCGAAGTATAGTTTCTATAAAAAACATTCTAATCTTAATAAGTTTTTTTTCTAGCATCAAATCCAACTTGTGATTCGGGGTTGTGCATTTCCAACAAGATTTGTTATCTGGAAAACGAGTAGTTGAGTATTCCTCTTTGCACCTCAGATCGGATATCATCTAAAGAAGTAAAGATTAAGTACAACATAACCACACGAGATCTGTTAATAGAAATGCTCATTCGGGAAGTGATGCCAGTGTTCTCGAAGTTCTCTCAAAATTTCTGATCTTAATAGAGACCGACATTATTAATTGGGGTCCTTCTCGCCACGTCCATTCGAGATTTTTCCTATGATTGCGATTAATTTTAATACGATCAGTGACTTCCATTGGGATGAGCACGATGAGCCAAATTCTCTCTATTGCTTAGTCACCCTTGGAGACTTCGAAGGTGGAGAACCTGTTTCCCTCAACTCGAGATTGTGGTAGCACTTCGACCTGGACAAGTTGTCGCATTTTCCTCACATCTATTATTGCATGGTAACCTACCTGTCGTGAAAGGAATCCGTCATAGCATCGTTTATTTCGTACATAGTTTATTCTTTCATCACCAGCGGGATTTCTCGCCTGTTTACAACGATCTCAAGGCGGGAATAGAAAGGGATTCACGCGGATCAGTTGTTTCTTCGATTCCTAGACAAGATCTCAACAATGCACGAGATCTGAATAACCGAATCAGACTCGACAAGCCGAAAGCGAATCAAATACGAATCCCACCGGCTTCCACTGGTTGTAGGAGAGGGCATATCGGTAAGTAATTTACTACGCGGTGTTGATATTTATGTATTATGTTAAACATGTAAGCTTAAAAACAGATTAATAACGATTGTTCTTAGATTTGTCGCGCGCCCGACGAGGATTGAAAGCTGAAGATCCATTACCTGATGGGGTATAGTTCGGTATTTTTATAGCAGAAATTCATCACAATTTGTATTGGTTTTAAAATGTAAAAATATCAATGATCATCATATGTTAAATAAAGATTTTCGTTTGTAAAAATTTCAATCAATGCACGATCACGGCCCATCATGTGTTTATTTATTTGAATGCTTGTATATTGTATATAAAAAGTGCTTTAGAAAATGGAATCCGAGATTAACTTTCTTAGACAGGAGAACTTATGGCTAAGATTACTGGGCTTGAGGTCGAGAATGCTGATGTTAAGGCCAAATATGATAAGGCTATGAACGAGGTTATGAAGCTAAGGGCCGAGCTCAAGAGTAGAATCGAGAAGTTAGAGAAGGGTAGAACAGATACTGTTGCTGAAAATGCCAGGCGTGATAATGCAATTGCTGAGCTTAAGGCCGAAGTAGTGAAATTAAGGGATAACAATGAGGAGGGCAAACAGAAAACCCAAGATATTTCTTCCGGGGAAATTGTTAATAAACCTAGCTCTGTTGTGGCCCAGCTTGATAATGTTTCTGAGGTTTCATTCTAATCTGAAATCCAATTTTCTTACACGAGTAAACAGAAGATATTGGAGGAAAAAGAGATAGACGTTTTCTTGAATGAGGTACAAAAGGAAAGAGTTAGTGATAAAATAAGGCAACACAATAAGGAGAAGAAGCTTCAACGTGATTTGATTGCTCAGAATCTGGCTACTACCAGCTCAGAAATGACCAGAGTCATGTGATTTCAGAAAATTCAGAAAGTCTTGAGGAAATCGTGACAAATTTGTCACGATCAATCTGTATATCTCCGAAAATTGAAGTAAATACTCTGGCCAAATCATTAACTTCTGGTCCAAATGTATCAGAGGCACAAGTGAGAAGGCAAGACTTGGATTCAGCTAAGGTAAGTGTACTGAATGTATTATTCACATCTCAAACTAAGAAGATCTTACCTAAAAAACAGATTAATCACAAGAATAATCACACAAATTTTCTTAAGAAAACATTAGAGCAATATCCTACTTTATATTATGAATACAGTAGTGAAAATTTTGATTATTACAGAATTACTAATGAGACATTATGCTCTTTATATAAGTTAAATCATGAGGATGAAGAAGGTATAGAAGGTAAATATAAGAATGAAACTTATTATATAAAATGTGAAGCATTTGAAATCAGTACTATCATATAGCTTATACTAAATTAATTATCTATTTATGCTTTCTTATTATTATTATACAATAAAGATTAATGTGAGAAACTGAGTTACTGAAATAGTATATTTATTTAATATTTTTTATAATATCCAATATGAGAATTAAATTGTTTTGTAATTATATAAAATGATAACATGAATACACAAATTAAATCTGATAAAATATTAACACCCAAATATCTGAATTGGCAAGTTAAATTAATTGGTGATTTAACTGATAAAATTCATTTAAATTATATAAAAAATATAAAAATGAAACTGATCTTGATTTTTGGATAATATCTAAAACTCTTGAACTCACAAATTAAAAAAACTAATAATTACCTTTTACAGAATTGTGTTCTTAAAATTTCTAAGTTTCCAGAAGAAAAAAACATAATTCATGAAATAGTACATAAATATTTCTCTTTTTTGTCTTATATTGATTCAAATACATGATATTAGAATATTTTTAAATATACTAATTCAGAAGCTAAATGTCTAATATATACTCGTTTAGATATATGAAGTAATTAGAGTTGTCTAGATAAAAATAATCATTATTATCTTAATTACCCATTCATATTGATCAAAAGAAAGTTAAAATTGCTGTACAAAGTTTATCAAAAAATATGTCAAACAAATCTCAAGAAACAAAATCTCATTCATCAATTTGTCTGAATAAAATTCATTTTTATCAATATATCATTAAACATGAAATGAATTTTGAGAAATTTTTAACCATTATTGAGGCTGAAAAAATAGATAGATCATGAGATATTTTTCTATTAACTTGAAAAGAAATATATATCTTTATCATGGAGAAATAAAAAGAAATAAAGATACAAAAAAATATCATAAATTTTTAACAAATCAAGATAAAATGATTAATAAAAAATTATTACATTGTAATTTACTAAAAAGTAATTTAAGTACTGCATGATTAAATAATCTGATAAAAGAATGAGAAAAATTCATACTCAATTCATACAAATTTTCAGCCAAATATAACCAAATCCAGAAATTTTCTATATTTAATCTTTGAATCTTCTTTCAATATGAGTCTGAACTTTTTTCAATAATATACACACCCCTACAATAAATTACCGGAAATTGATCGTACAAATTATCGATCCAAAGTTTAAAAAGCCAATTTATTGACATTGTTTATATAAACACAGATAAACGTACATACAAAAAAACTCATTTTTTCTTCCTTTTTAATAATGCGTGGAAAGAAATTGATCAACAAACAAAGAGAACAAATAATTGGTGCTCATCTCGCTGGCGTCAAAGGTAGAAAAATTGCACTTAAATTCAAAATTCCTCAAACAACAGTCTATGATATCATTAAACGTTACTATGAAACCAACTCTCCGCATTCTAAAAAATGTCCTGGTCAACCAAAAGTTCTAACCAATCGTGATAAACATGCATTACAACGAGTCATTTTGGAAAACCAGTTTTCTTCACTTGGCAAAATTACAAATGAAATAAACGACATACTTAATACTACTCACCATTCTAATACCGTCCGCAAATACATAAATAAAATAGGGTTTGGAAGCCGTATTCCAAGAAAAAAATCTCTTTTGACTTCAAAACAAGAAATTTGTCGATTAAATTGGTGCCGGGAGAAATGTGAGTGGGATGAACAATGGAAAAATATTATCTGGTCTAATGAGTTCAGATTTGCACTTTTTAAATCAGATGGCCGAGAAAGAGTATGGTGAAAACCTGGTGAAACCTACAATCAAAAATATATTAAACCTACTATTAAGTTTGGCGGTGGATCTGTGATGTTTTGGGGTTGTTTTGGTTGGGATGGAGTTGGTCCTTTGGTACTAATAAAAGAAACCATGGATTCAAATATCTACGTTAATGTTCTTGCTAATTATTTCGTACCCTGGGTTCGTCAATATCCAAACTCGATATTTCAGCAAGATGGAGCGCCATGTTATACTTCAATATATACAACTTGGTGGCTATTAACACATAGTATTCAACTTTTAGATTGGGTTGGCCAAAGTCCTGATCTTAATCTGATTGAACACCTTTGGGATATTTTGGACCGCCGAATTCGAAAAAGACGACCTTTACCTACATCAAAACAAGAATTAATTAGTGCATTACAAGAGGAATGGGTGAGTATCGATCTAGAAACCTTACGCGATTTAATTTTAAGTCTACCTAATCGTGTAGACAAGGTTATTAAAGCCAAAGGAAAAAGCATGTCATATTAATTTATAGGTTCTTAAATTTGAACCAATATAACTACATATTCAATACTTTTATTTTATTTAGTTTTTTCTTTCGTTTATATGTATAAAAATTTCTTTAAATATAAGTTAAAAATTTAAATCGTTTAAATGATCGACATTACGCAGAAAAAATTTCCGGTAATTTATTATAGGGGTGTGTATGTAATTTGAGTTAGATTATGAATTTGACTTGATTTAATTAAAGTACTATAATCCAGTACAAAAAGATTCATATCTCAAAATAAAAATTAATAATTATTTCTAATAAAAATCATTTAGAATTTAACTAATTTTTATAATTTTTTTACATTAAATAAAGAATAATCTAAATTAACTATTTTTTTGTACTTTTATTCAAGAATAAATAATATAATACTTTTTTAAAAAAACAAAATAAAAAATTATTTTATTTTAAAAAATACATTTTAAGTATTATTTTTATCAATATGCTATATTAAAACTTTAAATTATGCAAGCATATTGCTATAAATTTGATAAAAATAGATTTTAAATTTTATAAAGATTGAATCAGTAATTATTGCGAAATTAAGTCTTAAAATTTAACAGTTAAATTACTTATTATATATATTTAATATTAATTTTAATCAAATTTTATATAGTAAAATTTATGAAATAAAAATTCAAAAAGTTATTACTAGTAAATTTTTTTTTTATGAAATATATATAATTAAAATATATATATTAAAATAAATCTTAATATCTAATAACTTAATTAAATGAGACAAGATTAAAATTTTATTTTAAAAAAATAATTTATTAATGATTATTTAAGATATGATGAATCTTTTTGCACTGGACCATAATAATATAAAAAATACATGAAATATTGTATTAATACTTGGTTCAATATAATGCTAACTTTTAAAATAGTAAATATGATTAGTTCTTTATATAATTACGTATGTCTTATAAAAGTTTGTAACAATCAAAAAACATTTCAGATTCCGAAATTAGTAAAAAAAAGGTGATTTTGTTTAGAAATGTGAGCTACTGACAGAACTGTTTTTATTTAAAATTACTTTTCCTTATATCTGTATTAATCAAGTAGGTTAGTAATACGAAAAATGTGGTTTATTCTGGAATGTTCGAAATCGCTCTAACGGTTTTGTGCCTTGAAAACAAATTTTTGGATAAGTTGAATTATTGTTCACAAGGCTTACCAGTATAACCAGCGAATCGTTCTGAGATTAATGGAGTAGTAGTTTGTTTAATTAAACTCGATGAGAAAAACGCAATGCGTAAATACATGACTTGATTCGATGTGTTCCAACAAAATTTTATCAATCGCAACACGGAATTACCTATCGCATGCAAATCTTTACCTAGTTGCAAAGTGACTTGATTCAATTGAATAACTCGAAACATCATTCATCACACAAGCACTCAATTATTCACGCACACTTTTGTCAAAGTAAACAATATATTTGTGTGGGAGAGAGATCTGAAGAGAAGGAAAAGAGGAGACGAGAAAAATCGTATCATTTAACGTTATATATTTTGTTTTTTAATATTTTTATCAGGATATTTTTGTAGTTTCAGCTAGGGTAAGAAAATATGTCTACGGAATTTTTTATGTAGATGTAATATAATTATTCGTTCGAAGTTGTTATTAGAGAAATATAAGGGTGTGTGTGTCTTTTGATTGTATGTAAGTAAAAAGAGATTCGGATCGTGTGTATAAGATAAGATTAAATGAAAAAAAGAAGGAAATAGAAAAAACGTTTATTATGAGGTATATTTCTTTTTCTAATATAGGCAATTAGAAAAAGAATATATAAAAATGTAAAGTTGATAAAAAAGAATTGCGTCAAAAAAAGTAAAAAATCAGAGGGAATTATAGTAGAGGGGAGTAGCTTTTTTTGGGTGAGCAGTTATGGTTTTCATTCATGTCCACCCAAAACGCGTACTTACACTATCGAAGTATACAATCTCTAAGAAGATATTACATAAAGTTCGCTGATAAGTACACTAAAAGGGCCTAGATATATAATAATAAGTAAGATAATCTAACTGAAATCACGGAATTGATGTTGTATATATATACGTAGAGATCAAGATGTTAATCATGAAAGACAAATGGAGGGAGAAAAAAATTTGTGTATTGTTTTTGGTAAAAGATAAGAAATGGTAATGGTAATAATAAAATAGTAAAAATTTGAAATGAAAATTTTTGTTTGTCCTCCTAAATAAAAAAAATATATAAAGTCCAATGTTCGATATCCATAAATGGATGTCTTCTAAGTAAATAATATATACATACATATACACACACACGCACACATATATTTCTTGTTTTGTTATTGGTGACATAACATCACAAGTTTAGAAAATGACTTGAGAAAAATTTGCAATAATATATAATATGCTTAATCGCCGCGAGCAAAAAGAGAAAAGATTACGCAAAAAATTAATAAAATCTCGTGTATTAATTTATGCGTCAGAGTCGCCGCCTGTCGAAGTAGCATTCAAACGACGTTCTTTTTCGAGTTCAAGTTGATTATACAAAAGAAACAATGCTTTCTCATTTGATTCTTGAGTTCCCTGAATAGTAAACATTCTTTCGCCGGTTTCATCGTGAGGCGTCTTTGCGATGCTGATACGTGAACCAGAAAGTCGGCGAATTTCAGAAATCTTTGAACCACCTTTACCAATAATACAACCAACCATATCAGCGGGAATTGAGATGTTTTGAGTTCTAAGTGCTGCTGCATCGAAAGTGGATGGACGACGATTATTATGATAATCATTATTGCCATTACTGGGAGTAACCGAGGTATTGCTATTGCTGCGAGTTGGTCTAGTGAAATCGGTACCATTGCCAGTACGTTGCGTATAATCACTCGTACGTCGAGTACCAGTGTATGTTGTGGTAACCCGAATGGCTGGATTATAGAGTACAGTGCCGATACCACGTTCATTATCTTCAATAAGACATTTTCCAATCTCCCAGACAGCAACTTTTATGGCCTCAACGGTCCCTTGAACCTCAACAACTCTTTCGGTACTCTGAGAAAGCATCTCTTTCGAGGCCACCATTCTAGCACCTGACACATCTTGAATATGTTTGATCTTGAGTCCTTGACGACCGATGATTGTTCCCATGAGATTGTGGGAAATGAGTAAGCGAACAGAGGTGAATGCATTAGGAGGTGGTGTAATAGGTGTAGAATTAGGGCTAGCACCAACAGGATTCTCAAGTAGTGTTTGCGCGATAAGAGAGTATGCCTGTTTATTTAATGATTATTCATGTAATAAAAATAATTAATAATTATTATCAATATCACAAAGAAAATTGCAAGAGACAATCAATCAATCAATGAACCATTTATCCTATATTTACCTTTGCAACACCATCCAAAGTTCCGGCAACAGACAAAACTCTATCAGGAACACCTTGCACAACTTTAGACACACCAGCCTTTACGCCAGTAATCTCACGGAGTTCCGCTACATTTTTACCAGCCTTACCAATAATAACTCCAGCTTCCTTGGTAGAAACCAGAGCTCGAAGGGTAAGTTGAGAATTGGATACGTCCCCCGAGTCGACTGCCTCGGTCGCTATCTCTTCGTTATGTGTCTCTTCGTTTGTACTCTCGGGAACTGTTTGATCAGAAGGAGGTTGTATGAAAGGTGCAGTGCGTTCAAATAAAGAGTGTGAGTTCGTGTTGGTGCTGGTACCGTTGTTCGTTGTGACAGCCGTAGAAGAGGTAGTTGTTACGGCAACACTCTCATTGCTAACGTCTACCGCCGTTACGGCGTTCGAAACCGGAACAACGGCTATTTTACTATTATTATTAATTAAACAAGAAACTGCATCTTCGGTACCAGAACCAAAGTTATCATAGGGGAAACCGTTATTTGCTGCGGGTTCTGTCATTTCTTCTCTGGTCATTAATTTATCTTTTTATAATAGTAATAACAATTTATACGTGTATCGTGTGTAAAAATTTTACAAGTATTTTACGTTGTTCTTTCGTTTATAGCAAAAGAACTTTTGTGAAAAAAAAGAGTATAATAAAGAGAATATAGGGAACTAATATATAATAACGAAAATAAGAATATTTTTTAATAATAAATAATAATTAAATAATGATTGATAATAACCCCACGGATAAAACTTTCTTCCAAAATATCAACAACACACCACAGTAGTATTGACAGTTTGTTGTCGTTATTTTGATCGTAATTCAGAAACACAAGGACGGAAGAGAAGTATAAGTGGGAAATTGAGAGAAAGGAGAAGAAAATACGTGCGCGCGAGACGACGACGGAACAAGTGAATTACCCCGACTTTGTTGCGCAGTGAAGACAATAATAATAATTATTAATAATAACAATAAGCGAGAGAGAGGTGGGCAAATTTTTTTTGTGGTTTTTTTTTTAATTTTTTATATGTGAAATGCGTATTTTTAGGTAAAGGGTAGAAGAGAAGAAAGGAATTATAGTAAGTAAAGGATTAAGAGGGTTGGCGAAGAAGGGTGAAGAAGGAAAGGGTAAAGGATACAAGTGATTTTTCTGTGTGTTAAATATGCCTATCTTTTGTGTGAGCAGAGAACAAAGATCTACTACTACAATGACAAAATGGTTTTTTAAATGACAAATGGCAAACAAACTTTTATTTTTATTATGGTATTTTATGTAATAAATAAAATAAATAGCATTTTGTGTAAGCCATTTAGATAATAAATAACACTGAAGATGCGGAAACTATAGAGGGGGATACGATACGTTGATACATGCAAAAAATTATGTTTGCGAACGCTTTTAGTAAGTTTTTGTTCAGCCACAAGTACCTATAATAATAATGTGTCGATATATAATATATATAAATATATTTGTGAATCATGCGGACTATGAAGCGGTATGATGAATAGGATTAGGATTATTAGTAGGATTGTTGGTATTAGAGATGGAATTAGAATTTACATCCGTCGCTGCTGATGCAGTAGTAGTCGTCGTCGTTGCAGTAGTAAATCGATCGATTACACCCTGAACTCCACCAACTGCAGTCCCTAACGCATTCTTAATCCTATCCTCTTTAATCGTGGTTTTTATCAAGAAAAGTTTCACTTGTGTTCCATTAAACACACCCAAATTCGATCCGGCGAGATATATTTGACCCCACAATAGACTCGAAAACCACACGACACTCGCTTCCGACCATAGGAAATGATGCGGAGACACCGGCTGAGGCTGTGGTAAGATTCCAACAAGTGTCACTGATCTGAGGAATTCGAGTACTTCTTGTTCGGAGGAATGTGATTGCGCGCCGCATAGTGATTGAACTTGTGGCACCAGTTCTGATAGAAGGATTAGCATTGTGTTTAGTGGCAGATTAGAATGCCACAAGGATACCTTCAAGGAATTTGATTTGTTAATTATTATTATGAACGATATGTTAAAAAATGAATAATTTAATATTGAAAATCTCGATATATATACCCAATCTTCTGTTGGTACGAATCCGGATTTTCCAACTGCAAATGGTGCAACAATTATATTGTGGCTACGTGAACTGTCACCGCTTTGCCTACGCTCAGCAGGACTCACACCTTCTGGCAGCTTTCCACGTGCTTTCTCTGATAAATGTCCAGCTCCTTCATCATTATCATTATCGTTTTCATTTTCATTGTGATTTTGATTGCCACCACTATGACTATCATCAGAATGAATAGAGGAATGCAATAATTCTGCCTTCTCATTAAATTCATCATGCTCATCGTCATGATGTGTCGTGTTACTACCATGATGACGAATATTAGTGTTGTCAGATCTTGAAGAAGGTTTTATGGTTCCCGCGTCTTGGGAGGTAGGTGACGGCGTTGAGGATGGTGGAGTTTTAAGGTCCGGTTCTACTGCCGATTTTGTTGAACCACGTGCTTGTTTTCTTCGTTCTTCTTTGGCTGCTTGAATCCTTCTTATTTCTAGTAAACCTTTTGCTAATGTGAATTCCGAAAGATCTTCAAATTTTTTATGGGTTCTTACGATGGCGTATATCACATGCGGATTATCTGTGCATACCAAAAAAAATACTGATAAATGTATCTGCACAACCTAAATGATTTGCATTGCTTATCGTTATCCTTATTATTATCAATAAGGAAACTAAATCGAGTAGTAAACAAAAAGATCACAACAACACAAACGACAACAAACCGGAAAATTGATACTGGATAATATTATTGAATGCTTCTAACATGTATCCAGTCAAGAAGTGATTTCCTTCTTCAGACAACAAGAATCCCGGAGTGGAAAATGATACAAACAATTGCACTAACTTGGTGGAGGTGACCACTGACAAATTTTTCAAATAAGGTGATACGTTTGTGATGGTTAGAACTAATGCTGGATAAAGAGAATGCAAAGCGCCGCGCGTAGTAGAGATTAACGCGTAGATTGACTGATTGTAATTTAGAAATCAAAATTAGATTCTCCATGATAAAATTAAGAGTAATTGTGGGTTTGCAATAAATAGAACTTACAATAATCATAAAATCGGCATATGTTCCATGAAATGCAGGAATGCGAACATTGCTGGGTAACGAGCTGTGGCCCTCAAAGACTTTGTTTAATTTGACACCAAAATTACGATCAGCAGATATAGTTTGTAGTATGAAAGCGCACATACGCACTAAGCCATTTTGGGCTGTTTTTTAAGTAAAATTTAGAAAGTATCAAAATGAAGGATTATTGGTAAATTTAAGATTCCATAATAATAAAATGTGTGGCAAATAATACCTGGATCTTGTTTATTTTCTAAAGCATAATATAATATCACAATCAATACATCCAAAACTCTATCCGTTTCCAATAAATATGCCCGAAATCTCTACAAATTTATATTAAATATTAACTCTACGCTAATTAAACAAACAATTATATATGTATGAAATTCATCTGGAATGCTTACTTTATTAATTTCTAATAATTTCCAACAAAGCATCAACGTCTCCGGATGACACCGAATTGGTTTCGAAGAACCAGGCAAATACGTATTGTTTGCCTTAAAAATTATACAAAATCATATTTCGATTTTTCAAATTAGAAATCAAAATTATCCTGTAACGGAAAAAAAGTGCAATATCGTAGTCGACTATCATAAACTCACTTGCATAGGATTGCTCAAAATACGATAAATACCGTCCATTAGGAACTGAAAATCCTGCGTTCTATGTAATTTCGAGGTATAATATCTAAAGGCATTATCTGAAGTGGCAGGTAAATGTCCTTTTGGGACGTTAGAATTACCATTTGCCACGCTCGCGACTTCATCTTGCGAATGAGAATTCCTTGTTGTTCGAGAAGTCGGGAATGTCGGTGTCGCCAAAGGACTAGAAGAGGAAGGACTCGAAGGATGATAATTTACTGATAGTGTTTCATTACTATTGATAGTAGCGTCTATCGAAGAACCTCTTCTAGAAGCTGGTTCCGATGAAGCGGTAATAGCAGAATCCGTGTTGACACGGTTTGCTGGTGCTCTGTAATCTAATAGAACCAACAGCACTTGCAAGCACAAAGTGACAAGCACTTCGCGGGCATCAGCAAATACCATGTAGTTGTATGGAACTCCCCATCCTGCAGGATTGTACTTTACCGCAGTGTTTAATAAACTGCATAGCAACGCCAAAACAACTTTACGCTCCGTCTTAAGAACTAAAAATTTTAGACACTTGCTTTCTTTGGCCATAAATTTACCTAATATCGCGAAGTTTAAAATTGATCATTCAATGAATTTAAAAAATAATGATTACAAATAACAACATTATACCTCCTGACAAATACATCGATTTAGAAACAAGAACCAGCAAAAGTCGCAGAGTTTCAGTTTTATTCAAATCGTATTCTTTTGTTGAGCCGATGGGTATTGTAGAGCCTACTCCGGTTTCCCTTGCATATTGATGAATAATTATTTTTTTGTTTTAAACCGATATACACTACCCACTACTCCAAAGACGCGGTCCTTACCAAATCACGTAATTTACTCGTGTTTCCGTGGCGATGTTTGTCGGTATCGTAAAACCGGATAAAAATAAGAGATCGATTATCATTGATAATAATCGTTCTCCGAGAGGTGACTGCAATTGAGGTTCAGTTTCTTTGACTTCTGTTCCTGTCTCCTAATAGTATATAGTTTGAGAGATTGAGTTTTTTTTAGACAGAAAATTCAAAATCTCTGAAAATCAAACGAACGAGAAAATTAAAATAAATCTCGACTATATTTTCTAATAAGAGAAAACATTGGTAATGTTAATTCACGTAAATTAAATTTGTTACCTGTGTTTTCTTTCTATTCACATTCACATTTCCAGAATCGTTACTATTATCATTATCTCCAGTAATATTTCTAACAGTTACATTTTCACCTTGATCTGGAGGTTTCACCACTTCCGCTACATTATTATTATTATTATTATTGTTGTTGTTGTTGTTGTTGTTGTTGTTGTTATTATCACTATTGTTATTATTAGAAATAGTAGTAGTAGTAGTAGTATTCTTGTTGGTCTTCTTTTTTGCAGGTTGTGGTGTCCAAAATATTTTATCTTCCCATTCATCCATCTCTTCTGATTCATATATAAAAGGTATAATGCGCGTGAGAATCCTTATACAGTTAAGAAGTTGAAATGTCGAGTTTTGTGGTGATGGAAAATCGGGTGCTTTTACGATACGAAAAAGGCGTTCAATAACCTTGTAACATAGAAAATCAAGAGAATTATTTACAATTTCAAAAAAATCATTATTTTGTGGTGCTGCTGCTGCTACAGACCTTATTTATAAGCGTTTCCAAATTCTCTCTAGCATGGTCTCTTACGCGCCTAATGTCAGAAGCCCCCACGAGAGAGAAAACGTCGTCAGCAGACTCGGGAAGAAGCCAAAACTACCCAAAAAAGACTTTTATAAGCTGTAATAAGGTGCAGCTATAACACGCCTGAAGCGCATTAAGAAACTTGTACCTGAGACCAGTATTCATCGGAGGCAGGAATATTCTTTTGATGTATCAACAAAGGGTAAGTTTCTGTTGTTTAGCATAGTTATAGGTAACAATATAGCTTTATGAGTAAAGACTTACACGCTCCTCGAATAATTTAAAAACTCCTTTTCGAAAAGCAAGTTTGCTATCAGTCGCTCCCATTTTTTATAAAATGGGAAATGGAATATTTATTTTTTGTCAAAAGGTGTCTTCTGCTGCTACACCGATACAAAATTTGAGATTTTGGTTTAATGATGAATCACCTCTAAATTAGGTTAGACAAGATACTATAATGATCTTCACAAGTCAAAAACGTGAGAGTTGTCAAAAATATTTCGATAAATTATGTATTTTCGTTTTTATTTTTGAATAGTAAATTATGAACAACTACAAGTTCACTGATAAAGCAGAAAAAACAATTCAAGATGCTCTAGAAACCGCGAGAGAACATTCTCATGTACAAGTAACACCAGCTCACATTGCTGTCGCACTTTTAGACAGCACGGATGGTGAATCACTTTTTAAGAGTCTTATAAATAAGGCGGGAGGAGACTCGTTGACGACAGAAAGGAACTTTACGAAACTGCTTGTGAGACTTCCAAGTCAAGAACCCGCGCCGGTTGATATATCACTTAGTCCACAAACTAGTAAGGTAATTCGGGCCGCGCATGATATTCAACAAAAACAAAAGGATAGTTATATCTCGCAAGATCATCTTATTCTGGCATTGACTGAGGACCCACCATCCCTGCAAGCACTTACCGACTCAGGAGTTACTAAAAAGGCGTTGGAAGTTGCTATTGCACATATTCGAGGGTAAGTTTATTTGATTATCTCGATTATTGCCATTTTTAGATTGTGAAACCAAATTTTCACACAGTAATCGGCGAGTCGAGTCAAAGAGCTCCGATGAGAATTACGAAGCTTTAAATAAATATGCGATTGATTTGATTGAGCTTGTGAAAAGTGGAAAGCTTGATCCAGTAATTGGTCGAGATGATGAAATTCGCCGTGTAATTCGTGTTTTGGCAAGAAGAACTAAGGTATTGTTATAATTTATAGTGATATTTTTTGACCAATAAATATTTAACTGGACTTTCAAAGAATAATCCAGTGCTGATCGGTGAGCCTGGCGTAGGTAAAACTGCGATTGTTGAAGTAAGCCAGGATTATTTTAAATATGAGATTAGATTTTTATCAGCTTATATTATGAAAGAATTGAGGCAATATATGTGACTTTGATAGGGTCTTGCTCAGCGTATTGTGCGAAAAGATGTACCCAGAACATTGGATTGCAAATTATTTTCTTTAGATATGGGTGCTTTGATTGGTAAGTTAAACTGTTTTTATCACATTACCAATATATTATTGCACTAATTATATGTGAACGCATATAAATAAATAGCTGGTGCCAAATATCGTGGTGAATTCGAGGAACGTTTGAAAGCAGTTTTGAAAGAAGTCACGGATTCACAAGGGGGAATAATTTTATTCATTGATGAGATTCATCTAGTTCTAGGTGCAGGAAAAGCAGAGGGATCGATGGATGCCGCAAATTTACTTAAACCGATGTTGGCGCGCGGTGAATTAAGATGTATTGGAGCTACCACTTTAAATGAATACCGCAAATATGTGGAAAAAGACGCAGCCTTCGAACGTCGATTCCAGCAAGTATTAGTGGGTGAACCCTCAGTAGTTGATACCATAAGCATTTTACGTGGACTAAAGGAACGTTATGAATCTCATCACGGTGTAAAGATTGCTGATGCTGCTTTGGTGGCTGCTGCCCAATTGTCTGCGCGGTACATAACAAATCGATTCTTACCTGACAAAGCCATAGATTTAATGGACGAAGCATGTGCTAATACTCGTGTTCAACTTGATTCCCGACCTGAGATTATTGATCAATTAGAACGTCGTCATCTGCAACTTGAAGTCGAAGCGACTGCACTTGCCAAAGAAAAAGACGAGGAAAGCCGTCAAAGATTATCCAAAGTTAAAGAAGAAATGGCCGCCATACAAGAGAAATTAAGACCTTTAAAAGCTAAATATGAGCTTGACAAAGGTCGACTCGATGAAATTCGTGAACTAAAGCAAAAACTTGACGTTTTGAAAGCAAAGGTTATAGAAGCAGAAAATAATTATCAACTTGAAAAAACTGCAGATCTTCGATACTATGCGATACCCGAAGTCGAGCAACGGATTAAAGAATTAACAAAGGAGAAGGAGCAGCAAGATTTTCAGAGAGCTGCTAATCAGAATGCTTTACCTGATGAACATCTCCTTACGGATGTAGTTGGACAAGAACAAATTATGGATGTAGTAGCTCGTTGGACCGGAATACCAGTATCACGATTATCAAAGACTCAAGCTGAACGATTGCTCACATTGGCTGATGCTCTTCATAATCGTGTTGTTGGACAGGATAATGCGGTGCAAGCAGTTGCAGATGCAGTACTACGAAGTCGTGCAGGATTAGCCAAAGAGAATCAACCATTGGGTAGTTTTCTATTTTTGGGACCAACAGGAGTAGGTAAAACAGAACTAAGTAAAGCACTTGCACAAGAACTTTTTGATGATGAAAAATATATTGTTAGAGTTGATATGTCAGAATATATGGAATCACATTCAGTCGCTCGATTAATCGGCGCTCCACCAGGTTATGTTGGTCACGAAGAAGGTGGTCAGTTAACAGAATCTGTTCGTAGACGTCCATATAGTGTAATTCTATTTGATGAAGTGGAGAAAGCACATGTTCAGGTGTTAAATATTTTATTACAAGTATTGGATGATGGCCGTCTTACAGATGGTCAAGGTCGTGTTGTCGATTTTAGTAACACAGTTATTATTTTAACAAGGTAATAATAATAATAATAATAATAATAATAATAATAATAATAATAATAATAATAATAATAATAATAATAATAAGAATAATAATAATAATAATAATAATAATAGCAATAATATAACATGCATCCCTTCATTCAATAATTTAATTTAATGGTTTTTTGCCATTGTTACAGTAACATAGGCTATTATCATCTACAAGGATTAACCACCGATCAAATTGATGACAATATTAAAGAAGCTGTTATGAGTGACGTTAGACGACACTTTCGACCAGAGTTTCTGAATCGTCTGGATGACACCATTATCTTCACGCCACTTGGACGTCAACGTATTTATTCTATATAATTCTTCTGTTAAACTGTATTTTACCCTTATAATGTTTAATGTTAACTGCATTTACTATTTCCTATCCATAAATTCAATAGATCTTCATAAGATTGTTAAGATCCAAGTGGAACGTGTAGCTAAACGTCTTGAAGATCGACGTATCACATTACAAGTAGATGAAAAAGCTTTAGATTGGCTTGCGGAAAACGGATATGATCCTGTTTATGGAGCTAGACCACTAAATAGGCTAGTCAAAACCAAGATCTTGAATCCTTTAAGCCGACTTTTAATTGGTATGTCTTTTTCTTTCTAGTTCGAATACATATTTGCTATTTTTTGCTTAGTAATTTATTTTAATAAAATAAAGATGGAGGAATTCGCAACGGCGAAACTGCAAAGGTCACTGTCACTCCTCAAAACACAGACGTGTTTGTCGTCCGAAATCACGATGGTCCAGAAAGTCTTGATAAGATGGCAATTGATAATGAAGACCAGGAAGAAATGTATGCGGATAATGAATTGTAACTTCCGCAGAAGCGTCGAGTTGATTTGCTGGATTAGTGGTTTCTTTATATTATTGCTAAAAATTCGGTTATTATGACAATAGAATGAGGTTCTTTATATTATTCTATTAACGCCTCTATTCTTGTGTACCAAATACAATTTAGTATATTTGGGTAATTGAATTATAATCCAGACCAAATTAATATTTGGTTGTGTTTTAGTCTATATATCGATATATATCCAGCTTTCATAGTTAAAAAAATTTACTTATGTAGAATATTAACTCCATGATAAAATAGCATTCAATATTATTAAAAATATAAAAGGAATTAATAAAAATGATTGTATTGTACAGGATTTGAGAAAATAATTTGACAGCAAGTGTTTTTAACATCTCAACAAGATAAATAGTCAACATCATTATAATAAAAGGATACTAGTTATTACCTGTAAATGAAAATAATTACAAAAAGTATAGTATCGTATCACAAGAGAAAAATAAATGAAATTTTGACTATTTTCCTTTGAGTTTACCAGATTCAGCCGCGGCAATAATAGAAGAGGCAGAGACACTTTGTCCCACGTTTTCATTACTGTTAATATTACCACTACTACTTGAAGGAACTAAATTATTATTTTTATTCCTTTCCCAATCTTTATTATCGTCGTAAGATGCGCCAAAATCTTCGTCCAACACTTCTGGATGATTCCTCGCATATTTCCCCATTACTCTCTGTATACTTTCCATAACTGGATCACGATATAACAATATGGAAGCGTGTTCCCTATTTATCCTTTCAATCACTTTGGTCAATCGTAATTGATTACGTGGATGAATTAGGAAATTCTCATCGTCTGCAAGAAAATGTTGTCGTTGAAGCATCAATTTTTGTTGTGTACGTGAAATTCCAGTTGACGGTGGATAACGAGGTTGGTGAGGATATTCAAGAGGATCAGAAGTATAAGTGATGGGGGACGAAGTATCCTCGGAGACAAAATTTGGAGCGAAATATTCGGAAAAAGGTGGTGTTGTTGAATTTGTTGTCTCGTCACGAAATTGAGGTGGCAAATCGATAGGAGTCGGATAAACTGATGCTAGATTTCTATTATTGGTATTATTGTAGATTGCTGTTTCTGTTACTAATGAAGCATCATGTATATGCTCTGTTGTTGGATTATTAGGTGAAACAATTGGAGTTACATCCGAGGACATTGAAACTGTATTAGTAGCCACGAATTTTGGATGAGGCTGAAAAACATTTTGTAATGTAATTTCTGGGATTGCAGCAGGATTCTCGTTTCTGGTGGGTGCATCTTCTTGGTCAGGTAATCTTGATTTTGATGATTCAGCTGCGTCGATATCTTTTGAAGATGAACCTTTTTCTTCCCTTGCTTCAATTTCATCAACATCATCATTATGATTGTCTTCTTTGATTAATGTTTCTCGAGTATTATTGATTTCATCAGGATTTTGCTGTTCTTGCGATAATCTTGCTTTTTCTTTTTTGGTGACTACTTTCTCGATTTCTTCACTGGGATAAGGTTTAATAAACTTAGATTTTGAGTCTCGATGTGATTCAATCATTTCATTTGGTGGTAGTTGTGAAGGTGCTGAAGTTGTTGAGGGTTGTGGTAAAACTTCTTCGTTACTATCAATATCCCGAGATGATTTTAATATCTGATTATTACTCTTTGGATCTGTAATCTCATCATCTTTATCAGAAGTAACAGCATTAATAGTATTACTAATAGTAGGATTAGTATTCGTATCATTTAGACTTTGATCATCATCATTATTATCTTCTCCAACACCACCAAAGCTACTACTACCACTTTCATTATCAAAAGTTCCCTCAGTTCCAACCACAAATTTTGTCTTTTGCTTTTTCGCCGTTGAATCATCAATATTATTAATGCTATTAATATTATTGTCGTTGTCCATACTAACTGGGATAGAAGTAGTCGGCACAGTTCTTGCAATGCCACAGGATGGTTCAACAGTAGTAATTATGGACGTCGTGGCAGGAACTGATGTTGATTTGTTAACTAATTCCTGAATGTCTTTGGATTTCGTGAGTTCCTTTCCTGCCCCTTCTCTCTCACCCCCGTTACCTCCTCTTATACTCCTATTATTAACTGAAGTTGTGATAACAGGTAACGAGTAGTAATACGAACTTGTCGTTGTAGTTGAAGCTGTAGTTGTAGTTGTAACCGAGTTTGTGTTAGCAGCCATGGAGCGTGTCTCTTCGATCGTCATGCTTGTTACTAAGTATGTGTGTGAAAAAAAATATATATATGCTATTTGAACGAGTTTAAAAGAAATAGTTTCCCTCCATCATCATTATTATTATTGTTGTTTGCATATCGATCATCGAATCTTATCATCTTGTTTATCTTAAAGCACACGACGGAAAATCTAAAGCACATTTTTATTCGAGCTCAAGAAAACAATTAACATTTGTTCTCTAGGCTATATAACAAATATCTTGCGCTGACACACACACATCGAATATTCGCTGCACATTTTTCGTGCAATAACAATACTAATTATAATACATGGTCGTGTTTTCTGCAAGTATTCTAAATGGCGCCCTGATAAGTAGCCTTCATGATATCTGTTAATAGAACTTTCCTATTACTTTGGTTTTCCTTTGTGAAGTGTCTTTGCTCTATAAATTATATATACCTTCAATTACAAAAAATGGCTAGCAAATGCAAAACAATCGAAATTAGTTTTAACGGGTCAAACAAAAAAATATAATTGGTTCAGCATTAGCCAAAATTCCACTACCGGAAAATCAGAATTCCGCTATATGTTAGCCTGTTATCTAAATGTCACATGATTTTTCTGACTCAACTATTTTAATAATATGTATATACTTATTTTTTATTAGGGCACTAAAAGAAAATTCAAAGTAAATTTTTGAGGGACAGAAATGTTAAGGGTGAGGATTATATATTTTCGTTTTCTTTTTTTCGCAATTAACTAGACAACAATGTCTTTATTCAATGAGTTTTAGACAAGTTTTTAGACTACAGTCAAAACTCGATATAACGAAACGATGACTAATTAAAATCTCGATATGACGAATACAAAAGAACACTTCTGCGTAATTAGAATTGACTGGATTTGTCTTAAATTTGTCTTATTATCTAAAAATAGATGAGGTTCAATAGATAATGGTTATTATCGTTATTGTTGTGTGATTTTGTCTTGTGATTTATGATAAGTCACATGAAATTATAGAATTCGATATGTGACACATTTGACTAACGGGAAGTCTACACAGTGCTGAATCACGTGGTCTTTAAAAATCCACGCTCACGTGATCACGTAAAATTGACGCTAAGTTATTTTATCGTTTGGATTAGGATTAGGATTAGGATTAGAACTAGAATTAAGGATAAGAATATATAAATTACTTTTTCGATATTTTGTTAGTAAATTTTGATATTTTCACTTTATTTTTTTGTGTTAAAGACCACGTGATTTAACATTTTTTCGAATTACTGATTAATATTCTAATCACGATATTTCACGTGATTTCGATTTTCTCTTAAAATCATGTACCAATCAAATCGCAAGATCAATATGTAACGCAAAGAATTGAAAACAAACGGGAATTCGTTAAAGCCAGATAGTCACATGTAGATTAATTAATTAAATTGCAAAATCAACAAATTTGATCGAATATTTCGAAATTTTATTATAATAACTAGCTTTTAATTTCTAAGTAAAAATGCTCAACACGAAATTTTAGATATACTATCTTTGTAGGAACTAGCTTCTTATCTAGCAAAATTTCTAGTAAAATTAATAAATTTGATCTTAAGTTATATTATCTAGCTTTAGTATTTCTCAATTAAAGGATGATTTTTATATGATTGATTAATGTAAATTAATTAACTGGATAATTACTGAATAACTTATTTATACACTTTAAAATACTTTTTGAGAATGTAACATTTCATTAATAAAAAATCATTGTAAAAATTATTCTTAACTTTAAATAAATATTTATATTCATTATAAAAATTTACTTATTAGATAATTATGTCTATTATTGAATTATATATGATTATTATATATAAAAAAAAATCAACTCAATGAAAAAAAATAATTGAAAATTTTATTGCAAAAAAACAAATTAATAATACTTTATCAAATTATATTAAAATAAGTAATATAATTTGTTTAATTAAATTTTAACAACATATTTAAACATATATAAAATAATTTGAAACTAATAAATTAATAAAGTTTTGATTAATAAAACAAAGAGTATTAATTATTTATCTTTTTCTAAAGCAATAGAAATACTAACAAAATTATTATATATTCATAAAAATAAAAAAAGAAAACTATTAATATATTCATTTGACAAATTTCAAATTATTATGAAAGAAAAAGATATATGATTAAAATTTTTTTTTGAAAAATTATATTTTTTATCTAATTTATTATCAAAAAACAAAGAATTACAAGTATTGTTACCATTTTATCAAAAAAATTTGTAATTACTTAATTATTGATCAACAAAAATTAAAATATATTACAAAAAATATTAAATGTTACATCATGTAACTCAATAATGATCAAATTAATTCACTCCTTTATTTTTGTATTGTATTCCATTACATGATTATATTTAGTATATATCATTACCTTTTTGATATTTAGATCATAATACCTAAATATTAATCACATTTTTGTACACTTTTTGTTTTATTTTCTTTTACTGTTGCACTAAAATCATTTATT